CGAATTTTTCTTAGCTTCTTTTTTGCTACCTAGTAGGTCCCCATCCCTTCTCCCCCCGTGGTGCCCCCAATCCACTCATCCGCACCCCTGCTCCAGGTATACACAAACATCCTCCGCCTACATAACTAGCAGATGTAGCCCCAGGTTGCCCTCCACCACCCACATGCCTGCCTGTTGTGCGTCTGGTTTCTCCGACTTACCCTATCTCAACCCAGGCCAGTCCTCTTCCAGAGTCCCGATTGCTTAGGCGGACGTAGCGGCGTCTGTCTTGCAGCCGACCTCTATCCCTACTGGCACGGCTCCCCTTGTTTGCTGCCCACAGCTGCTGTCGATGCAACTGCTGCTGCTGTTGCCCGCTCTGAATACCACGGATCCCTCCATACAGAGCCCTTCTGCCGACCCGAACTTGGACCTCGACTCCCATCCATCCACCCACCCATCCATCCAGTCATCCAGTCCTCTAGCTAAAGCAAGCACCGGGCGTCCTTAGCATTCGACCTCCACAAATAGGGCAGTTTACGCCGCCCAAAGAAGCAACTGATCCGCCTCTTGTCTCATCGGCTACCGGACGGTCACGTTGCTTTGCCCGCTACGGCACTGTCTCGCGGCAGGAATCTATACAGAGCGTACACAGTATATACCTCTCGACTTCTTGTCCTGGCCTTCCAGCTATCTTTTGGATACCAGACCAGACACTATCAGGTTGGGGGCCATCCAGCCGACTCTGCCGACTACACTACGCTCCTTCATTAACCTGACAAGAGGCGCTGCTGCTCGCCTCCTTTTTCGTCCAGCCAGCCCACTTCAAGGCCTGACCGGTGCGGTTGACCTCCTCAACGGCTACCTCGACGGTTCTATACCCGGTTATCTTACCCCAAACCGCTTTTGCAGCCCCGGCACAATAGCGGCGCTCTTAGGGCTTGCGACCCCCTCCCCGGCCAGCCCATTACCGACCCCGTTCCGAAAACCATTGGGTCAACATATTATGCACCGCGACTCCTAGACGTCCCGACCAGCTTCCCCGTATTGACGGACCACTTTCTACTTCTGCCAGAAAGAGAGTATACTTGGCCCCTCCAACCGAGTGGCTCGTCTTAAAACCGATCTCAACACCCACCAACGATATTGCTTCAGCTCATCACGCCTATCGTCAGCATGCACGACCAAATCATTGGCACGATAGGCATGGACCAAGCAAGTCACATCGCTCATGACAACAACACATATGGAAACAACAATTGGGTAGATATGAATTCATTCCACCATCAGACCACCATGGCAGACTATGGTGGCAGTTACGGTGGTTATATGCCACCCATCTCGCATGGACTGCCCTCCGAGTCGCTCGGCAGGATGCCTCCTCCCCCGCCTCCTCAGCATCATGTGCCTCAACCACATCAGCATTCTCACCCTCCTCTGCCAATGTTGATGATGCCACAAACGACGACGACTTGGCCGAGCATGTTAACGAATCCAACCTATGGCACACACCCCGTCCCGCCCGTCGCCATTCCTCCGGTAACAACGCCGCTCAAGAACTCCAAATTGCCGGCTATCCAGACAACATCACAGCCCAGAAAAACGCTCACTGATGAGGACCGCCGGCGTATGTGTCAGTATGCTCAGGACCATCCGACGGCCAAGCAAACGGATATTGGAGCCCAGTTTGGCGTTGAGAGAAGGTAGGACACACTATCTGTGGGAGTTCGCGTTAGTTTCGGGACCTAGTTGAGCTGACAACCTTTTATTAGCACCGTGTCAAAGGTACTGCGCCACAGAGATAAGTATCTGAATCTTGAGGACCGAAGCAATTCTCCGATTAAGCGTAACAAGGTCAAGGGCGCGGATATCGAAAAGGCTCTGACCAACTTCCTCAAAAAGTCTGTGGACCAAGGCGTTCCAGTCACTGTCGAAATACTCAAAGACAAGGCGCACTTGTTCGCAAGCTCCGCGGGTTCCGCGGGAGATGAATTCCTCAAGTTAGGAAGCACAACATGGCTGGAAAAGTTTATGCTCAAACACAACACTGGGCCGAATAGGCTACTTCGTCGTGCATCCGAAGCCAACATCAGCAGTAGCATGCGAGGATCGTTCTCTCTGAGCACATCACAACCGTCAAGCGCCATTTCTCCCCTCTCACCCTTGGGACACACTTCTCCACTATCGGCAAACAGAAGCGAAGGGGAGAAGGATAACATGGCGAGCTACATGGATTATTCGACTGAAAACAGCTACAAGCACTCGGGTTCACAAAGCGCCACCTCGCTACATAGCGCGTTCACTGACGCGGGAGCTTCAACATTCTCTGGGAGCACTCTCAGCCCAACAGCATCGTTCGGTTTTTCGCCTGATCCCAATGCTGGAGCATTCCTTACATCAGATCAAGCCAGGCAGCTCCCGCCGGGCAGCAGTGTCGGTTCCAACTTCCAAAGACCCAGAAGTCAGACATTCCCGACCTTGGACATCGAATACCTGAATCAACAAGAATCAGGAGATGGGTTGACGCCAAAGTATCATGTATCATCTACAGGACCTTCATCCGGTCTTGAGTCGCCTGCCAATGAAGTAGGCCCATCACACTTTGGCATGGACCACATCATCACCTCACCACGACTCCGTCACAGTAGCAGCAGTGGAAGTCTCGCTGGACGGTCGATCGCTTCACCACTCAGCGCAAACCCTACGTCTCCTATTTCTCCTACTCAGGAGGACGCACGACGGGCCGCGGATACCCTACTTTCATTCATGCAGCATTCAGGTGGGCTTGTGGACCACGACGAATACATGACGGTAGTCAAGCTCACCGAGAAACTGCGACTTCACCAGGCCCAACTTGCCAAGAACACAGCAGTAGGAATGGGTGGACTTTCTCGAATACCAGAGGGCGACAGTGAGATGCAGAACGCTGCACCAGCTTCGGCAATCAAGGTGGAACAGGCCATGGGGGCGTAATATGGGATCGGACGTTCAGCGATACCGTACGCCGTCTCCAAACCGCCCACGCCTCAAAGTTTTGTACCTTGAGAGGGTTGCCGAATACGCTACATACAGACTGCCTTCGATGCCACCCATTACCGGAACATAACTCGAAAGGGATATCCGCAAACAGTGGAGTCTGACTCGGCCTTTGTTTAACCAAGGAGATGACCGGCTCAATGGTCCTTTGAAGTTTTCTGCAAATCGCGCACTTCACTTCTGTTACAAGATCTTTTTATACCCCCTTTTTTTCTATTGTCATTTCCATCAACGGAGTTGCCAATATACCTCGCACGCTGCGATAAGAACCTACGCTCACGCGAATAAGGAGTTAAAGACTATCTTCTCAGCTGTTCGACTGTTATTTTTCTTGAGTTCGGTTTTTTTCTGGCGTTATCGTTCAACTTTGTTCGCCTTCGAACATCAGACCTCAAGTCTGATAAAAAAAAAATCCACTTGGTCAGTCTTGCCTTGTTTCGGCCGCGGTCCCCTTGATCTGGCAGCTGGAGACATCTCCCAGCGAAACCATGCCGTCTCCTGCAACCTTTTCCCATGCATCTACTGGCTTGCAACCTTTTCCCATGCATCTACTGGCTTACCATGTTTCATCATGCTCACTATATCAATATTTGTCCGCAACTCCTCTATGTAAAATTGATGGGTTTCTTGTTTTGGGTAACACCATTCCGTATTTCATGTTTGATCGTTTCTAGCTGTCCCACCTCTACCGAGCTGTCATAATTTCCATTATGCATGTATCTTTTTTTTGTCTACCCACTTCCCCGTTCCATCGAGTGTAAAACACTCTCGCAGAGGAGGAACCGGAATATAGTTCCCTTCAGCTGTCCTGGTAATAAGGATGGATGTGTGGGGGGTCTTGGGAGCTGGAGCAAAAAGATGTGATTCTGGCGATTAGCAGCAATATCGATTCAGCATATGGACAAACTGAAAACTGGGCAGACGAGAAGAAGGAAATACAGGCACTGCTTCTTGCAAGCCTTTTTAGGATGTGTATAGTGTTGTATGGAGCGTGTCATCTGTACTTTACTCTTTTTACGCCTACCTTTTGCTTTTGGAAATCGGGGAAAGCCGGGAAGCTTTTGAGTCCAGGTTGTGTGCGAAAAGCTCTTTGGGACCTCTATAGCCCTGTCAAGTGGAAGAACCTCAGTTTCTTGGTTGATACGTTGTTTTGGTCCATCTTCCCCTCTTTGCTTTTGACACCTTTGAAGGACTTCGTTCATATTCCACATCAATATTTACGCGAACCACCATGGAAAAACTAAAAGACAGAAGAGTGAGGGATTAGGGCAGGTGGAGACAGGAAAGGGACGGACGAAAACGGTTGAAATGGGGTGCTTTCCGACGAAGAAGGAACCACCCATAGCTACAACACCATCAACATATCATATTGGTATATAACACTCTCCCACAAATCACAATTGCGCTGCTCCTTTTTTCCCAGACATAAAATCGTGTGTCCTTGCAACGTTTTGGCCAAAAAAAAAAAAACACAAAACCATGACCACGAAATTTGTAACTTCCATATGAACATAAAACTTGTAAAAACAACGACCACCCACCCTAAGGTATTCAGTACTCTTATTCGGCCTCCCACAAATCAAGCAAGCCTCTCCTCCCAAAGCTCACTTACCCTCTTCTCCGCGAACTCAGGCATCAATCGCACCAGTATCAACTCCAGCATGGAGTAAATCAGATGCTTGTTCAGATATGCATCACTAAACACATCTAGGATCCCTTCCTCAATTTGCGTCAAAATCGTCTCATCATCTTCATCAACTTCAAGAGCCTCGAATTCATCAACGTGAGCTTGACCGCCTGCGGCAGCGGCAGCGAAAGCAGAAGCCGCGTGATCATCACCTGCCCCTGCATATACATTCGCATCCGCCGCGTCTAGCTCCTGCTGAACTTGCTGACGATGCGCATGAGCATATGAGCGTGTTGGTCGTCCACCCTCTTGGCTAGTTTGGTCTTAGTAGCCGATGCTGCTGCGCGGATGGTGGCATCGTTAGTGCCACCACCATTACCAGCGCCATTACCAGCAAGAGACAGCTTGCTACTGCTTCGACTATTGCCCATGCTAAAGGAGCTGCTGCCTGAGCGGGGATCGGGACTGGTACTGGTGGTTGCTGCTATTCCCACGGCTGTTGCTGTTGCTGTTACCGAGGGTGTTGCTGAACCCCTACGGCTAGACCATCCAGGCCCAAGGCCAGGTCCACCAAATCCAGGGGCAGGGGCACCAGACGATAACGAAGAAAGTGATCCAGACGACCCAACCGACCCCTGTTGGTGAGTTGGAACTGGCTGCTCGCTGCCAGTAGTACTGGCAGCAGCAGAACCAAGAACCACGACCGCCTGCTGGCCTTGATCTAGGCCGCTTTTCTTCGGTCCGCTCCCGCTCCGCATCTGTTCCATTTGTGTCTGACCTCCCTGCAGCTTCTTTTGTGATGAGTTTTGAGGAGCAGCAGGCTGGACAGTGGCAGAACCGACATTGCTTGCTCCCCTACTGGTCGCAGAACGAGAAGCACCAGCACCAGCACCAAAGCCAGCACCAGCACCGGCTACTACGCCCCTTTTGGCGTCCTCTTCACTTACCACCATTGGTGCGTTAGTGTTAGCACAGGTACTAACAGTAGCAGTTGGCCTGGCCTCTAGGCCCGCGGCCCTGGGTTTGGAACTGGATAGATTGTCGCCAAACCCGCCACGTCCACTAAAATAGACAGACCCAACGAACTTTGCCATAAATCCAGGCGAAATTAGCGCCCAAAGGTCCTTAGCACACTTGCGCCTTAGCGCAAGCAGCTCGTCTTCGGACGACGGGGCCGTCAGGCTCGAGGTCCCTGGCAGATTATTGGGGAAGAGTGCGCCTCGCACGCTGCGCAGAAGTGGGGGTAGATCTGATGGGTCAAGGAGGTACTTGTGGACAGCGTATGACAGAAGCCTATATGAGATCGTTATGGTAAGTAAAACTGCCTTCTGCTAGTAATTGGCCGGTTGTCTTTGCCTGAACGGGACATGTGCATTTTTGCGCTTCGTTGCTTCTTCCCGGTGCAAACTGTATGTGTAACACTCGGAAGATATCTCGCTTCTATGCTCTGGGGGACTTTGAAGGGGAAAATGGGTGTGTAATGGAGGTTTGGTGTTTCATTGCGTGGGGGAACAGACCACTCGAGAACGAGAACTGAGTGGGAGCAATACGACGGTGTGTATGGTGCGCGCAAATCGATGTTTGTGTCCCTCCGAGTGTGCCTATGCGTGTGCAGCGTTTGATTGAAGGATAGCGGGCTCTGGCATGTCTAACGGTGAGAGTAACTGCCAGTATCCAATACAGAGCATTCTCCCTGTAAAGAGGGATGTCCCACAGCATAGGCATAGACACTGCAATTCATGGTACTGGGGGACGAAGTCGAATGCCCCAGATGCTGATGAACCGGCGCAGCTTGTATCAACAGACAACCGTGACACCGCCGTGAAGGCCCGAAATACTGAACTGGGAAACGACCACAACACCATGTTCGTGAGCTCAATCCGCTGGTCCTAGCCATGGACGAAACCTGGAGAGCGAGGTCCTCACTTCCATCGCGAGTGCGGGGAACCAGGAACACCAAGCTTGGTGGGGATATGCTGACATTGGTGACGAGGTCCGTCGGCCATGGGTCGTGAAGAGGGCACTGGCACAAGAACCCTGCTCTTCAACAATTTCCACCCCGAGATCCATGGAAACTGGACCACCGCACAGTGCAAGAGACAGGGTCCCAGTTTGGGTGAAAGGTAAGCTTGTGAGCGCGAGGGGGGGTGTCGAGAAGAAAGCTCTCCGCGCCAAAACATCGTGGTGCCCACGGTGTCGCAAAAAGCGCTCAGGCGCGATACACCTTACGGAAAATCGCAGATATCTGATCAGCAGATCCTCCATCGTGAATTTGAGTCGCAGATTGCGCGCCAATCGAGCAGTCCAGAAGAAGAATGGAGTTGCAACAAGATGCCGAGACAAGATGACGAGTCATTAGGACGGCTGTTCTTCGAATTGAACCAAGCCACCCAAGACTTTCAGGCCGGGGACAAAGACGAGTCCATCCAGAAAAGGACAAGTTCCATCTGAATATCGCAGCGTATGGTAGAATGTCGCTGTATGATTGCGCCTGACGACGGACACGGCAAACGGTGGGGTGTGTGCAGTATGAAGCGGAATTCTGGCGGAAAGTGACCTCGATGCTGGTTGCTTCTGGTGGTCTGTCTCATGGATCTGGATGATGAGGATGGGTCGACGAGGGGTGTTGGATCCTTGTCAATAATCCCGTCCGGCGCGTAAACAAGGCTCGTCGATGGTCCGTCTAGTAAGCCCCGCGAAGCCCATGGTGCAATGGGACATGGCCAAGGCCACATGGTGTTCTGATTGGCTGGCTGCAGTTGGACGTTCCGAATGCAGGCATCGTGGGATTGGAACACTTAGGGTCTGCGGTCGCCGATTCGGCCGCAGGACCTTTAGGGGGTGTGTTCCACAACACAACCGCCTTTACCCAAATACCTTACAACATCTTGGCATTGGCAGATGTATCGCGCCCGCTGACCTCGTCTTTGCGGCCCAAGCTCCTACTCTCGGTCGATATGCCATGGTAGGCCGCTCCTCCCAGATCTCGTGATGGTTGCCGGTCTCTTGTTTGCACTTGCACCAGTCTCGATATCGTGTGGGTACGCCTCCAGATCCAATGACTAGTGAATGATGCGGTGCAACACTTGAACGTGCAGAGAGGAGTAGGAAAGGAGGGGAAAATGGCAAGGAAAGAGGCTGACCTACCTGTCAATGCTCCCATCAACACCACCCAGCCTTCCTGGGCTTCTCGTCATGATCCACTGCAACATGGAGACCGAGCCGCTGAGCCACGGCATCCGGCCGTCCATCTCGATCAAGTTCGATATCGCTGACCAGCATCTGAATGACAAAACGGGGGTCTTGAAGCGTTCTGGCTCCACATCGGACGACCCGGCATGCTCTTCGAGATCCAATTGAGTCGTATGGTGAGCCGCCACTTTCTCGTATGCGGTCGTGCTGCGAGACAACCGAGGTGGCAAGGAGTGGGAAGTGACCAAGATAGTGATAGTCATCCTCGCAAACGATATCGCGAGAAGGGCCCACTGAATGAAGGTCCAGAACAGTGCCTGAATCGACGGCATCGAGGACGACCTGCGAGCTTGTACCGGTACTTTGCTCTTCCTTCGGGGCAGGGGCTCATTTTCGACAGATCTGCGCCGTGTAATAACGTTGGACGCTATTGAGAGACACTCCCAGATAAACCAAGGCTCTGACAGCTTGTTGGCTAGAATGTTCCCGATTATCAGCTCCGACAATATCTGACCTACCAGGGCCACGAGACAGTTGTTCTGGAGATCCTCAGTGGGCAAGAGCACGGCAAGAACAGCATGAACCAGCAGCTGACGATAGGCCGCCTCATTCGCGGCTTGCTCAGCTATGCTCTCCGGGCTTCCTGAGCGCGGGACGGGTGACAGAGCGGGCAAGGGGCACAGAGCGTGATAGATCTCGCGCGCATCCGTCTGGAGGGGAGACTGGGTGATGGGATTGTGAGCTGCTCGATAGGCTAGTCGGACGGAACATGTTAGCGTCGAACCCGAAATTGGTTGGTGGAGCTACAACAGACCAGTGACATGCCTGTCGAGAAGATCGGGCAGCTCGTCTAGGAGCAAGCTCTCGAGGTCGACATTGCGAAGGCGCTGCTCAAGCGCTCGGGTGACATGGGCAATAAGCTGGACGATCTCGGCGACAAAGGTGTCGTCAGGGGTGATCTTAGTGTACCAGTTCTGGACATATTCCCGAAGGATGATAGCAATCAATGCGTACAGCTGCAAGTCAACATCGTTGCGGCTGGTCAGAGGCGGCAGCACATCCTCGATGGATGTTGGCGTGGCCTTGCCCTTGTCCTGGTGTTGAGGACACAAGATGCGCCGGATCAGATAGACGGTGGCCTTGTCGGAGAGGGGGTCTGCCCGATGGTTGTTGGACTGGGGCGATGGCGATCCCCGTTTGGTCCGTGATGACCTGGTACTGGCCTTTAAGTTGTTGTTTGTCGACGACGATGGCTCTGAGCTCGCCTTGGGCGACTTGGGTCGTGGGGTTGAGAGACGAGGAGTTGTGGGAGCGGGGCCGCCCTGAGACTGCGCAGTGGCAGTGACAGCAGGGAACGCAGAGGGCGCAGAGGGCGCAGAGGGCGCAGAGGGAGCTGAAGCAGCAGCAGCGGCAGCAGAAGCAGCAGAAGCAGCAGAGGCAGCAGTCGAGGCAGTTGTCATGACGGGCCAACTAGCGGTGTCCAAACATTGTGCCCCGCGCAAATCCGATCATATCATAGCGCCGCCCTGACACGTTATGATAATTCAGAGCTTAGTGCTGTAGTCCTTTGAAGCGCAAGAAGCGGAAGAAAGGAACGGAAGAGGAGACAAAATCGTCGAGGTATGATCGCGTGTTGCGCGGTGCAGTGGTTGGTGAACGGGTGGTGCTGGTGCATCTTGATAGCGAGTGGTTCAGTCGTGGTCCAGCCCTCCGTCCCCGCACCCTTGTGTGGGGGGCGGCGACCAGCCAGCAGCAGCGGCCCACGGAGATAGAAGCACCTGNTCGTGGTCCAGCCTCCCGTCCCGCACCTTGTGTGGGGGGCGGCACCAGCCAGCAGCAGCGGCCCAGGAGATAAGGAAGCACCTGCCGCTTATCAGATGGGGCTGGTCCAACACGGGTAGGCGGTGAGCTTGGCCAAGCCAAACATGGCCCTTGCCGTAGCAACCGATGACCATTGAATTCGACATTGGTCGAGCTTCCCCTGAATGAATGTCAACAAAGCACACTAACGCAGCTAAAAAGCGGAACCATGTTCTCGACCGCATATAATATCCCCATAATCCGAGCAAGGCGAAGTTGTTGTCTTCAGGTAAATCGTCCACCTTTCTGTCAAGGATCTATGCTGCCTGTTAGTTAGGAAACCCAACGCTCGAGGCGTGTCATCCTCGCACTGCGCTTGACAGATGTTGGCTGGATTGATCAATACAAGGTGTGGAACGAGCTGAAACGCACAAGGCAGACGGAAAGTATTTCAGAAACAAGACCGACTGTCGTCGATGAGGCTCAACCTGTCATCACCCTTGCCACAGCAGACTGCCGTGACACAAGGCACTTCCTGCAAGACGGCCCGAGCCTGACCGTTGCAGATCAGTGCCTAGGCCCACAACAGCGAGACTGCCCATCAGGCTGTGCAGTACATGAGTATAAACGCACATCTTAGATCCGACATCCGTAACAATCCAACGCGGGTCGTCAGCAACTTAAGTGATACAAATAAATCTCAAAATGTGATAAGCCGATGTGGTCGTAACAATGGCATTTGTTCGATACCCCTATTATACAGCCTGGGTCCCTAATAGCCCGGTTCCTAACACCTACTACATCTTACAGGGTGCTACGACCAGCATGCACATGGCTTATTTATACAGCAATGACGCCGTCGTCCTTGACGGTGGCCTCGTATCTGAAGAACATTGTTAGCACTCAACCCACATCTCGTTGTATGGGGGGGAATAGAGAAAGCACTAACCTCTTTCCGCGGAAAGCCCACACGCCCCAGTTACCGGCACTGATGTCCTGAGGGTCGAGATCGTTCAGATCCCACCGGAGACTGCGGAAGATGTTCTCGCCAGGCTCCATAAGAATGTCGAATTCACCCTTGGCCTTCTTGTTGACCCACTCAACATCACGCTCCATGTCAGCCTGCGTGTAGCCCGTAGCAATGATAGGAGCCTTGGTCTCGAGAAGCATAGGCAGCGTCTCCTCCCACTCGTGGGAGCTCGCCGGGTGGCCCAATCCAGGGTGGAAGAGCACGAAGGCGTCAAAGTAAGGATCGTGAGGAGCGAAATAGCCCGTCTTGTGGATGGTATGGTAATAGTCCACAATGGTGCTGATCTTCATGGTAGGCCACACGCGGTCCTCCACAACCGCGCCGTAGGGGTTCGAGGGAGTACGGGGCGGGAGGGGGAACTCGTCATCGCGGTTCATCATGCTCTCCGGTCCGATGAAGATCAGATGGAATCTTGACCGGGGGAAAAGGTGGGCCAGCTGCACCCACGCATCTCTGGGCAGCGACGACTCAGCACGAGCACCGAGGATGAACAGGCGCACGGGAGGAGCCTCTGGCCGGAGTCCCTTGATGGATTCGTTGCCTCCAGTCTTGGGGGGATGCAGGGTATAGCGAAGAGCCGTCAAACTCTTCAAACCCTCCACGGTGAGACGATTCCGGATGTGGTACGGGCTCAGCTCGTGAAGAATGCTGCCGATCGTGAGAGGGTAGGTCAACAGCTTAGTCGCCTGTCTCATGCACCGGTCATCATTGACAGCTTCGAACTGACGGGTATACATAAAGGTGTCCCAGTTGGTCATGTTGACCATGGCATCATCCATTTGCGGGCCGGCGTAGTTGAACTCGTAGAAGTGGCGGCCAGAATGGAGGTCATGGTCATCTTCGTTGATCTGTCGCAGAGTGTCGCAGATCTCAAGATGCTTCTCGTAGTCGTCCATCCAATGCTGCTCGCTGCAGTATACCGGGATGCCACAGTCGGGGCACTCGAAATCAACATGCTTCGGGGGCTGGGAGCCAGACTCGGAATCGACTTGGCGGCTGGTCTCAGAGAACTGTCCTGGGCGGTGGCTGTGGTGAGGGCAGCTGGCGTGCTCTTTTATGAAGGCCGCGCGCTGGCGGATCTTGGGAATGGGCGAGTTGGTGAAAGAGTGGAAGAGGTTGTCCTGCTCGAGAATCGGCTTCGAAGGGATGCCAACACTGGCCAGATCCTCGTTGGTGGCGAACGATGTCGAGCTGCTGGCCTTGGATCTGGACTGGGAAACAACCGAAGGGAGCTTGTTCGTGATCGAAGTCTGGGTCGGGCGCGAGACGGTTGTGGTGATGCCACCGGCTTGCCTCGAGGACGAGGAAGAGCTTTGTGCCCCGCGGATGGAGCTGACGGAACGCTGCTGGGCTGACTGCAAAAATGCAGCACTTTGCCTGCTCTGTCTAGCTGTGAAAGACGAACATTGCGAGCAGAGCTTGGACAAGACCGGACGCACGGCGCGGTCTGCTGGGAGGGCCATTGGGATTTGAAAAAGGTCGGATGATGTTCGATCGGGAATCTGGATCGCCAGGACTCGATGCGACTTTCCAATCGACTTTTTGGCAGCAGCTCCCAGCAGTCCGGGGTCCCCAATGGAACCGAATTCCACTTGCTCTCGTCCTTTGAATGACCCACTTGAGCTTGCTTCACCAGCCACAATTGTACCCAAAGCTCTGACGTTATGCGGGTCAGCTAGCTGCGGGCGAGCCACAGTCGCGGGGCCCGGGCCAGGGGGTTAGAACGTAGAAGGGTGAAGGTGGCGCCAAGTACGGGCAGTGGTCAGTGGACGTACTTGCCGCTGGCGCTGCGACCTTGGGTGACTGCACCAATTGGCCAGCTCCATCTGAAGTTGATGGCGACCGACTCCATCCAGCCAGAACATAGGACCGTGTTTTATTTTTTGCCGAGTTACAAGTCACCAACTTGCACCCAACAACTCCATATCCAACCCTCGATTACTCGACAATCTAGCTGACTCTTTGCCATTTGTCTCTTCAGCATAACTACGGCAGCATCGAAAGAGCGCAAACCGAGTCCTATCCACTTGCAAAACCGACCTCGAGAAAGCAGAGCCGCGCCGGCTTTCTGCGCCCAGTTGCAGCCATGGCGACCACATCGAACATGTTCCTGTATTCCTTGACCATCCAGCCACCCACCGCTGTCACGCAGGCTCTGCTTGGTCAGTTCTCAGGAACCAAGGAACAGCAGATTCTTACGGCGTCTGGATCGCGTCTAACCCTCCTCCAGCCTGATCCCCGTCAGGGCAAGGTCAACACCCTGCTGTCTCATGACATCTTCGGCATCGTACGCGCCATCGCGTCGTTCCGTCTGGCCGGCAGCCACAAGGGTGAGTGAAGGCCCCGTCACCTCAGTTGGACAATATAGTGATTCTGGATCCGTTCCCCAGGTGCTTCTGGGTAGAAGGGTCACACGTTTGGTCAACCACCATGCGCCCAGGCCTGCAAGTCGTCCGGGGACTTGGGACTCATTGAAGCTGGTAGCGGGACTGTGCTAAAACCTTGTGCCACCCAGACTACATTATTCTCGCCACTGATTCGGGCCGCATCACGATTATCGAGTATCTTCCCAAGACGAACAAGTTCCAGCGCATCCACCTCGAGACTTTCGGCAAGTCGGGCGTCCGCCGAGTCATCCCCGGCCAGTACTTGGCCGCAGACCCCAAGGGAAGAGCCTGCCTTATTTCGTCACTGGAAAAGAACAAGCTGGTCTATGTTCTCAACCGCAACTCACAGGCCGAGCTTACCATCTCGTCACCGCTAGAAGCCCACAAGCCAGGAGTGCTGGTGCTGTCTCTTGTGGCCCTTGACGTTGGTTACGCCAACCCCGTTTTCGCCGCGTTGGAAATAGATTACTCGGACGCGGATCAGGACCCTACGGGCCAAGCACGAGAAGAAGTCGAGACACAGCTGGTATACTACGAGCTTGATTTGGGCCTGAACCACGTTGTTCGCAAGTGGTCGGATACTGTCGATCGTACTTCTTCGCTGCTCTTCCAAGTACCGGGCGGTAATGACGGTCCCAGCGGTGTGTTGGTTTGCGGCGAGGAAAATGTTACTTATCGACACTCGAACCAAGAGGCCTTCCGCGTTCCTATCCCCAGACGTAAGGGCGCTACCGAGGATCCTCAGAGGAAGCGTGTCATCGTCTCTGGCGTGATGCACAAGCTCAAGGGGAGCGCGGGCGCCTTTTTCTTCCTTCTTCAGACGGATGATGGAGATCTCTTCAAGATCACCATTGACATGATCGAAGATGCTGACGGTAACCCCACTGGGGAGGTTAAGCGCCTGAAGATCAAGTACTTCGATACGATACCAGTAGCAACCAGCCTTTGCATCCTGAAGAGCGGCTTCCTGTTCGCCGCTAGCGAGTTTGGGAACCATCACTTCTACCAGTTCGAAAAACTTGGAGACGATGACGAGGAGCTCGAGTTCAGCAGCGACGACTTTCCGACAGACCCTACCGCCTCGTATAACCCGGTGTACTTCCACCCCAGGCCACTTGAAAACTTGGTCCTGGTTGAGAGCATTGATTCGATGAACCCTCAGGTTGATTGCAAGGTTGCGAACCTGACGGGTGACGATGCGCCCCAGATCTACTCTGTCTGTGGAAATGGTGCGCGGAGTACTTTTCGCTCGTTGAAGCACGGACTCGAAGTGTCTGAAATTGTCGCTTCAGAGCTCCCGGGTACGCCTTCCGCGGTGTGGACGACCAAGTTGACCAAGTACGACCAGTACGACGCTTACATTGTGCTGTCATTCACAAATGGAACTTTGGTGCTCAGCATTGGCGAGACAGTTGAGGAGGTCAGCGATAGCGGTTTTTTGACTACTGCGCCTACCCTAGCTGTCCGGCAAATGGGTGAGGACGGCTTGATCCAAGTTCACCCCAAGGGTATTCGCCACATCGTCCAAGGTCGTGTCAATGAATGGCCTGCGCCTCAGCATCGGTCGATTGTTGCTGCTACGGCAAACGAGAATCAGGTCGTGATTGCTTTGAGCTCTGGCGAAATTGTCTACTTCGAAATGGACTCGGATGGCTCGCTCGCCGAGTATGACGAAAAGAAGGAGATGTCGGGAACCGTCACATCGCTGAGTGTTGGTCAAGTACCAGAGGGCCTCAAGCGAAGCTCGTTTCTAGCTGTAGGATGTGATGATTGCACAGTTCGCATTCTTAGCTTGGACCCTGACTCGACGCTCGAGATGAAGTCCATCCAAGCGTTGACAGCTGCACCCTCGGCTCTGTCCATAATGTCCATGGAGGACTCGTTCGGTGGCTTCACCCTCTATCTGCACATTGGTCTGCATTCGGGTGTATACCTTCGAACAGTGCTGGATGAGGTCACGGGTGAACTAACAGACACTCGTCAAAAGTTTCTAGGCCCCAAGCCTACCAAACTCTTCCAAGTATCTGTTCAAGATCAGCCATGTGTTCTTGCGCTGAGCTCGAGGCCATGGCTGGGCTACACCGACCCACTGACCAAGGGGTTTATGATGACCCCTCTAAGTTACACTGAGCTTGAGTATGGCTGGAACTTCAGCAGCGAACAGTGCTTGGAAGGCATGGTCGGAATTCATGCTAATTACTTGAGGTAAGTTTGTCTCCTAGTTTTTTTTTAAATTTTTTTTTTTTTTTTTGGAGTGCACTAGCTTCACATGATGATAAAAGGGAATCCTATGCCCTCGGGTAATGAGGTAGTTGATGCAATCATACGTGATTGCACCAATTGTTCCTTCTGAGAAACGGCCTGATATACCCATTCACCTCGTGTATGTTTATCTTTTTCGCAGACGCTGACATCGAGTGCAGAATCTTTTCGATCGAAAAGCTGGGAGACAACATGATCCAGAAATCCATTCCTTTGACTTACACACCAAAGCGCCTAGTCAAGCATCCCGAACAGCCTTACTTTTACACTATAGAGTCCGATAATAACACGCTTCCCCCGGAGCTGCGGGCAAAGCTTCTGGAGCAACAAAGCAATGGTGATGCGACGATACTGCCGCCAGAGGATTTTGGATATCCCAAGGCTAAGGGCAGATGGGCATCATGCATCAGCATTATCGATCCTATCAGCGACGAACCGAGAGTCCTCCAAAGGATCGATCTCGACAACAATGAGGCGGCAGTCAGTGCGGCTATTGTACCCTTTGCCAGTCAAGAGGGTGAAAGTTTCTTGGTAGTCGGCACAGGCAAGGACATGGTCCTTAACCCACGTCAATTCACCGAGGGCTACATCCATGTCTACAGATTCCATGAGGATGGCCGGGATCTGGAGTTCATCCACAAGACCCGAGTGGAAGAGCCACCTATGGCACTCATCCCGTTCCAGGGTCGTCTGCTGGCTGGCGTGGGCAAGACACTTCGCATCTACGACCTCGGTTTGAAGCAGCTGCTCAGAAAGGCTCAAGCAGATGTGACGCCCACCCTGATCGTGTCCCTACAAAGCCAGGGCAACCGCATCATTGTCGGCGATCTCCAGCAGGGTGTCACTTACGTTGTCTACAAGGCCGAGGGCAACAGACTCATCCCCTTCGTCGACGACACCCTAAACCGCTGGACAACCTGCACTACCATGGTCGACTACGAATCCGTCGCCAGCGGCGATAAGTTCGGCAACATTTCCATCGTTCGCTGCCCAGAGCGCGTCAGTCAGGACACTGACGAGCCTGGGTCAGAGATCCACCTGATGCACGCCCGCAACTACCTTCACGGCACACCCAACCGCCTGAGCCTGCAGGTCCACTTCTTCACTCAGGACTTGCCGACCAGCATTTGCAAGACCAGCCTGGTGGTCGGTGGTCAGGACGTGCTGCTCTGGAGCGGTTTGCAGGGCACTGTCGGTGTCTTCATTCCCTTTGTCAGCCGTGAGGATGTCGACTTTTTCCAGAATCTGGAGAACCACATGCGCGCTGAGGACCCGCCGCTTGCGGGCCGTGACCACTTGATCTACAGAGGTTATTACACCCCCGTCAAGGGCGTGATTGATGGTGACTTGTGCGAGAGGTTCAGCTTGCTGCCGAACGATAAGAAGCAGATGATTGCGGGAGAACTTGATCGCTCGGTGAGGGAAATTGAGCGCAAGATTTCGGTACGTGTTGCCCTGAACTTCCCTGGTTATGAAAATGTATAAGTTCATTTACTAACATTTTTGCTTCACAGGATATCCGCACCAGGTCTGCCTTCTAAACACCTTCACATCGTCATGGGTGGGAAGTGATGGCTGTTGAGCTTATGGTTTAATTGTATATGAACTTCCTTGCACAGAAGCGCGTCGTTCATACAGAAAGTCTGGTGTGCTTAAAGCCTTGTTGTAGTGAGATAGCTGCTGTTGATTCATCAGCTAGGCGCTTTGGAGGTGGTCGGTCCTGGCTTGGTGTTTGTTGTGTTATATGCCGCTGTGCTTATATCCAACGATGGAAAGAATTAGGCAGACAGAACGGTATATTGTTGAAAAGGCAAAAGAGAAGGCTATGGATACACAGGAAATTTGAGTACAAAACACCAAACCGAGTACAAAACACCAAACCAAAAATAAAAATAAAAATAAAAATAAAAATAAAAATTGGCAATCTCCCAGATCCTCCCTCTGCTTAACTAGTACCTTATGGTAGTACCTACTTCCCAACCATCGACCCATTCCCATTCCCCCCCACAGAGGTACTAATAAAAACCAACCTCTTCACCCCACTAATCCAAGTCCTCCCCGCCACCCTCCCCTTCCCCCTCCCTTTCCCCTTTTTACCACCAATCCCCCCCTCCTCCCTCAAAGGATGGTCCCTCTCCCACCTCTCATCATCCTTCAACGCCTCGACCGCTTTTTCGGTATCCCAGCCGTTTCCCTCCAGATACAGAACCGCAACATCATAATCCGCCACTTTGGTGCTCATCATCCACTTTCTTATCTTCTTCTTTTTCTCCGTCTCTTCCGCACTTTCGACGGGGTGCGGAGAAAGGGAAACACCGGAGGGGTTGTACTCCCCCCGGGGATCAGGATGGTGCGGTGACCGCGCGCAAATAGCAGGGCGGAAGAGGAGGAGTGCAAGGGAGAGGAAGAGGTGGAGAGGGAGAATAAAGGGAGGTTGTTGTAGGAGAGAAGAGCGGGGAGGGGGATGGAGTACCGGAGGGAGAGGGATGGGAGAGTGTCGGTGGGTGAAAGGTGGTGGATCGTGTCGGGGATTTTTTTCTCTGGAGGAGTTTTGTGGTCTTCTTCGGTTTTGGGGTCTTGGGGAGTTGTTGTTGGTGCTGTGGTGGTCGAGGGGATAGTTGAGTACGGGGGCGGTGATGAAGATGGGGGAGGAAGAGGATTGTTGAAGGCGGTTGGACCGGGGTAGGGTGGTGGGAGTGTGTCGTCGTCATCATCCTTAATGGATTGTTCGGTTTCACTTCGGTGATGGTGGGAAGGAGCAGAGCGATATTTGGGACCACGGGGGTTTGGGGAAGTACCAATAGGGTACGAAGCGGATGATGATGAGGATGGGGTTTGGCAGTAGGGACAGTAACTGCTGAAACGGGGGTTGTTCTAGTTGTTGCGGCTGGTTAGTGGACTCTTCAATCGTCACGGCCGGATGCCTTTGAGCAAAAAACCTTAGGGACGTTGGCCATCAAGGTGCTTTGCTTATGCATTCGCTTGGCGAGGCATGCATGCTACCTATGCTGCAAAGGTGAGAAGTTTGCTTGCGGGTTGGTGATACTTACGTATATACAGTTACCGCAAATCACTCGGCCGCAACAACTCAATCGGCGATCGTCCGGAAGAGGTTTCTCGGTATCCGGGACGAAGCGGGGGACCGACGATAAAAGAGTTGCGCAAGTGCAGCAGGCGTCGAACGGTTGTTGAGTCATTGTAATGGTGGACTTGGTGTTCGCTGCGTCAAGTGGAACGAGCATCTTTCTTTTGCTTTACGGCAAGATCAAAACTTGAAATAAAATGGTTTCCAAGCTGAAAATATTATGTTCGGTATCCAGCTTGTAAGTAGTTGACCCATCGACAAGTCGGGTGGCGATCATGTCTCCCGGACATAGGTAGGACTTACACGGCTAATGTGGGGGCGAAAAAGTGGTTGTAAAAATTAACTGGACATAGATACCTCTGCTTGTAGACAGTTCAATACACCTCGCTTCGTCTACGAAAAGGTCATCGCAACACTGCAATAGGGATTACAAAAGAAGGCAAATGCATCGGACAGAGTCCATTACAAAATTACACAGGTGGTAAATGCCTAAATGCTGAGTGGGAAGGTGTAATGAAGACGCGAGGATAAGTGACGTATTGCCCGTGACGGGATGTGTTCGGTTTATTTTTACGACCTCTTCGGGGGCAATACTTATCGATAAGAGCACCGGCCACCGGAGGGTAACCCCGCGGCCCCGCAAGTACATAAGGCGTGGGGGGACTGTCAGACTCAGCGGCTCTCCAGCACAGCACTTGTCAGGGAACCTGTAGAACCTGTTATTTCACTGTCAGGTTCGTTCGTTCCTGTTTGAGGGGCACCGCGCAACATTTCCGCTTGCAAACCCGACATCTTCACTTCACCTCTTGGATGAGCAGAAAACAAGACGGTAGCGACTGCGCATCACTCGCCGACTCCCAACACATAATTATCCAACCATGAAGCTTGAAGCTGTCAAGTCCGATCGGCTCAGCTCTTAGGCTCTTCACCAACCTCCTGCCAAATCCCGACGTCTTTGCAGGTTGCACATGTCGTTTGGTGATGTGTCCCTAAGGGGGAGGTTTGCCTGACATTGCGTCTCGCCGTCTTCCATTGTCTTCTTTCCGTCTCATTGTCAGTTATGACAGAATGTCTGCTAACCAGCCAGACGGCCGCATTGCAACTGGCCCGGATCACCATGGACATTGTCCTCGCTTCTGCAACCCGAACGGAGATTTTCTGGCGTGATACAGCTGAAGCAGCACGACGTCAATGCGGCCGATATGACTGACTGTCCTTGGCAATGGTCGAGCTCCCAAGAACTTGTGACTTTCGTAATACCTCGGGGCATGTCGAGTTTATCGAGGCTTTCATGGCCCGGCACTCTATGGTACTGTGTAAGGCCCTGGGGCTTTTGGTTCCAGAAGGGCCGGGCCATTAACATGGGCCTGTATCAAAACTAGCATTGCTTCTACACTGGACAGAGGGAGCATGACAAGAAAAACTCCTTTTTTAAACAAAACTACTGAGAAGGAAAGCAAAACCAGTTTGGCGGTATAAGCTATTTATTTGAACCCTATCACCAAGTTGGTTTAGAGGAAAGGCAAGGTGAAGTAGCATCGGCGAATTAGCCGTCGGTTTTCCAGTGCCATTGCCCTTGCTTTTCATGCTACCCTAGCTAGGGAGAACTGGGAGACTGGAAGCAGCAAAGAGAAACGAAGCACAAAGCTGAACCAAGCATCACGGCCGGGCCCGTCCTCCATGACATACGAATGGTTCGCTTGGAAGCAAAAGTTCTCCAGATCTTAGTGCACAAGTTGCTGGGAATTGTAGCAAGCTATGGCACACGACGTATATACACTACATGGATGAAGATATGTGTAGGCACAGAAGACGGTGGGGTTGGGTTCCGAGACGACGGGATAGACGGGTCTCGATTCCACTTACTCCCCCCACCTTCCTACCCCCCCCCCCCCCCCCC